TTTTCTTCCTACTGGAAGGTCATCTGGTGTTTTATTTTGGATGCCTACTGGAACCATCCTGTCCTGTTTTTGTAAATGTTTTGATATTGTCTGCTGTCTTCAGGGCATTCAGTGGTTATTTTCCTTGTATATTGATTGTAGATTTGTTTTTTTTCATCCTGCTTTTTTGTTTTATTTGGTTATGTTTGAGCAGGCGGGCTGTGTGTTCTTTGTTGTTTGCACGTCTGTGGGCACGGTACTTTTCACCTCCTTTTCCAGTGGGCAGAGTCAGTCACTCAGGTATGGTACAACAGGGCAAGTCCAACTGAAGGGGAGTTGCTGGAATGGGTTGTTTGTGGCATGTACCAGAGCTGACAGTGTGGACCTGGAATCAGTGCAGGCAGGTTCCAGCAGGCCATGCCTTTGCTGCTTGGGAGTGTGATGTTCAGCACACAGTACAGGTAGGTAGGAAGGAAGGAGTAGATTGTGATGAGTGGAGCTAAGATGGGTATGGGAAAGATGAGAGAGAGGAGAGAGGAACAGAAGCCAAAAACATACACACAAACAAAAAAGAGTACTCAGGGAGCTTGCTATTGGAGTGGAGAGATGAGAGACTGAAAAATGGGAAAAAAGAAAAATGAAAAAAAAAAAGAAAAAGGGTAAAAGAAAAAAATGAATAAATCGAGAGACTAGAAATGAAGAAAGACAAAAAGGGAGTAAGAGAAAGAAGAAAACGAAACAAAAGAAAAAATAAAAAAGAAGAAAGAAATGCCCCCAGGGATGTCCCGGTGCATCTGCGCAGAGTAAGAGAGTAGCTTCCAAGCTGCGCAGTACTACCGGGCTAGAAGGGGCTCCCAAGCCAAGAAAAGAAAAAGAAAACGAACAAACAAATCAAAACATAACACATCAGAGCAAACAAACAAACAAAAAAGCCCCAGGCATCCTACCTGCGTGACAGAACGGGCTGGGAAGCATTTTCACAGTCGAGCAGTGTTTTGCAGCCTTTCAGGAAAGAGCAAAGATAGCACACGGAGCCAGGTATTTGAGAGAAAGGAGGGGGAGGGGGAGGTGGTGAGACGTAAGGAAGAAATCTAAAGAAGTGGATAAAAGCAACAGCAGCAGCCAGCTAAAGGTACTCAGGGAGCTGGCCAGTGCAGGCAGGTGGAATCCAAGCTACACCAGGGTGAAGCTGTTGCTTCCCTACCAAGATACTGTGGCTACAGGAAGCAGAGGAGGCTAAGTGGGGATGAAGAAGGGTGGGGGGTGGGAAAACATATATCGCTGGTTACTGGTTGTTCTGTCTCCTGCTGGAAGCTCCGTGAAGCTGCTTTCTTGTACCCCTGTTCGCTGATCTCCAATAGGAGTCCGAGATGGCGGTAGCTGATAGGGAACTTCTGCGTGTATCTCTCCTCGCTCTCTGTTCTCAGTCAGTTTCTTATTCCATTTGGTGCTTGGCTGAGTTTTTCATGTCTTCATTTGATGCTTAGGGTTTCAGGACTGACGTGTGACTCTGTTTGACTTAGTTTTTCTGATCTTTGCTACAGAGGGACGGTGTGGTGCTTCTGACTATAGTGCCATGTTGCCCGGAAGTAAGAATTTTTTTTTTTTTTTTAATGAATTATGTGGTAGGAACAAGTACTCACTTGTGTGGTACAATCATGAATTAAGTGAACTTTGATGATATTTGTACAGTAGTAGAGGAGATTAATTCTTGCATTTTGGTTAAACATAAAACCTACGACAGAGTATCTTAGCAGTGATAGATTAAGGTACTTGTTGTTTATTATGTAATCTGTGTGCTACGTCTTTTTGGTAATTTCAAGTTGTACTTTAATAAAATAAAAGTAAGAAAAATCTGTTAAAACGTACTAGTTCATAGTTGAGGTCGCAAAAATATATCCTTACCATTAAAAGAATGTGTTTTTTATTGTCCATTTATCAGTGACATATTAAAGAAATCAAAATCACTGAATTTAATTTCGTTTAAACCAAGTAGTTTAAATATGCGTGTGGCCACCAAGGAAACTGTGGTGGTGCAGTGGTTAAGAGCTCCAGCTGCTGACCAAAAGGTCAGCAGTTTGAATTTACCAGGTGCTCCTTGGAAACTCTATGGGGCAATTCTGCTGTGTCCTATAGGGTCACTATCAGTCAGAATTGACTCGATGACAATGGGGTTTTGGTTTGGTGTCCACTAAGGGCATCAGAAGCTAAGATCAGCCAGTTTGCGTGTGCATACCACCACTCAGTCATGTCATCAATTCAGCAAGCTTTTTATTAAGTACCTATTTAGCGACACATGCTTTACTAGGTATTTAGGCATCTAACAGATTCAACAGGCTAGTCAGCAACACAATTGTGATAAATGTAAGCCTAATAGTAGATATCCTTCCTAGGCTTAATGTAGCAAAAAGGAGTATATGATCTATTTGGTTAGAATAGTTTAGGGAAGATATTATAGAGGACCTGACATAAGTCTTAAAAGTGGGTAAATGTTACTAGGTGAATGTTGAGAAGAAGTGACAAAAGAGGGGATTTTCAAGTGCATTATAGGCAAAAGGAATAGCAAATGTATAAAGGCATAGAGATGTGAAATAGAATGCCACATTGGAGCCCTGGTGGCACAGTGGTTAACAGCTCGAGTGCTAACCGAAAGTTTGGCAATTCGAATCCATCAGCTGCTCCTTGGAAGCCCTGTGGAGCAGTCTGTGTCCTCTAGGGTTGCTTTGAGTCAGAATCAACTCAACGGCAACGAGTTTGAGTTTTTTTGGATATGTAGTTTGTAATTACTGAAATTTAAGGTTTGATGTGGATGAATGATGGGAGATAATGTTGCAAAGAGAGAGTTCATAGGTTACAGAAAATGGTACCTTAAAGTATAATTACTAAAGTATTCTGTTTTAGATTTTTAAATTTAACAGAAAAGTAGCAATTAATCTAGTTTGCTACTGTACAAATATGATCAAAGTTACATCTTTTAGTATGCAATGCTAAGATTGAACTTTAACTTGTGAATAATGGGGAGCCATGACTGCTTTTAAACAGGAGAGTAGCGTGACTCCTTTTGCATTTTAGAAAACTCCCTCTAGTGATATTCTGGAGTCTGAATTGGTGAGGAGGATGAATTGTTGTTGAGTGCCCTTGTGTGCTCTTGAGTCAGTTCTGACTCAGTGATCCTATAGGACTAAGTAGAACTGCTCTTATGCTAACCAGAAGATTGATGGTTCGAACGCACCAGCCACTCCACGTGTGAAATATGTGGCAGTCAGCTTCCATAAAGATTACAGCCTTGGAAATCCTCTGAGGCATTTCTAGTCTGTCCTATAGAGTCGCTAAGTCAGAATCGACTCTGTGGCAATGGATTAATCTTTATGGGAGCAGATAGCCAAGTCTTTTACCTCACGGAGCAGCTGGTGGACTGGAACAGCCGGCCTTCCAGTTAGCAGCTTAGTGCTCAACCATTGCACCACCAGGGCTTCTAGACACTGGGAAATCATTGTGCTTGTCTTGGCTGGGTGTTGAGTAGAAGTAATAGGAGACGGTGTTTATTTAGATGGAGGAAGGAAGGATTCTAGGCTAATTTCCCAGGTTTCTGGCTTGTGTGAGTGGAGAAGTGGGTAACAGTGTCATTAATAAGTAGAGTAAATGTCAGAGAAGGATCAGGTATAGGATAGAAAATAGTTTGGTTTGAGTTTTTTGTTTGTTTGAGATGCATATGGGAAGTCTAGAAGGAGAAATCTGATTAGAAATACAGGTCAATAGATAATTATGGTTTCAAATTAATGATTTGGGAGTTGCCAGCATAAAGGTGTTTGTAGAAACTGTTGGCATGGATGAGATTTCTAGGGATAATTTGTTGAGTAAGAAGCTGGTTGAGTTAGGAAGCTGGTGAAGGAGGGATCTCTGAAGAATACCAAAATTAAAGGGGGTGAGGAGAGTGGATCGAGGTGCACAGAGTGCTGAGGAGGAAAAGGAAGAAGTAGGAGAACCAGGAAAGACTGCTTTCTTGGAAGCCTAAGATATAAAGAAGAGTTTCAAGCAAGAGAGTAATTACCAGAGATTACTACAGAATTGTTCTACACAACTGTCTTACTCATCTATTGCGGCTCTAACAGGAATACCACAAGTGAATGGCTTTTAACAGAGAGAAGTTTATTCTCTCACAGTCCAGTAGGCTACAAGCCCAAATTTAGGGCATCAGCTCCAGGGAAAGGCCTTCTGTCTCTGTCAGCTCCAGAGGAAGTTCCGTGTCTTCAAGCTTCCCTTGGTCTGGGAGCATCTCAGCGCAGGAACCTCAGGTCCAAAGGACGTGCTCTGGTGGTGTAAGGTTCCCGTGTGTCTCTGCTCGCTTCTCTCTTTTATATCTCAAAAGAGATTGCATTAAGACACTATCTAATCTTGTAAACCTCATCAGTATAATCTCATCACAGTGATAGAATTTACAACACATAAGGAGATCACATATAATCTCATCATAGTGATAGAGTTTACAACACATAAGGAAGTCACATCAGATTAACACAATCATGTAATACTGGGAATCATGACCTAGCCAAGTTGCTACACACATTTTTGGGGAGACACAATTCAATCCATGACAACAACGATTTAATAAAATAAGGACTAATTAAAGATGGGTAAGGGGAAAACAGATAATTGCACAAAATAGATACAATTCATCTTTGCCCTTAGAAAAGCACTGCAAAAGATAACACATCATGGTTAGGTTAAAGGTCTCCCTTCTCCAGACTTCTTGCCAACAGAGAATATACAACAATCTTTAGCCAAAATAGGGATCAATGTATTAGCATTATCAGTGGTCACTCAAGCTCCTGATAAACCCCAATGCAAGAATCTCTGGTAAATGATACATTTGAGACCTGAGGCTATTGTGGTGCTTTCTACTTCCCTGTGAATTGACAATTAGGAGCATAAGGCTAATTTACGCATTTAGATATTGCCAGAGAAAGTAGAAAAGAGAATGGCAGGCATTTCCCATCAGTGCACAGCCCAGATAAGCTTTCCATGTTGGAGGAAGAAGTACAAGATAATCCTCCTTACTTGGGTCCAAGAGTTTAAAGAGCAAGCTATAGGACCTGATGTTCCTCAGAAAGTAAATGGCATGATTCTTGCCCTCTAGTAAATTAATTAATGAATATCAGGCTCTCTTCAGTCAAATTTTAGCCATCTCTCTTAATGTGAGAAATTGTTGGAAAGAGGATGGAGAGAGATTAGAAATTTTCTTTTTAGGCCAAGACTCCAATAGGAAAATAGCCAAAAAGTTCTTTCTTACAGTCATCACCATACACAATAAAATATACTTTAACCTATATAATTGTTATTAATAACACATTTAATTTTCAAATCAGTTACAAATCATGTATACCCAGCATTTAACTATAGTAATTTTTTTTTAAATGTTAATATGGTAGTGGTTACCTAACCTTTGAAGGGATTTAGTCTTTCCTTAGTGAATATTCCATTCCAGAAAACTCAGAATACGTTTAGACTTTTCAGTTGGGCCAAAAAAGTAAAATGGAGAGAATGTTTGTTGAGGAGAATCCCAATTTTGCACCCCAGGTCCAGTCTCATATTCTAGTGCTGCTGTATCATGACAGAAAGATGCAACACTGTGTTTGGAGATTGGGTTCTGAAGTCAGTTTGAAATTCTGGCTCTGGTGTATTACCTTGGACAAATTACTTAGCATCTAAATGCTAGTTTCCTCATCTCTAAAATGGATATTATGAAATGGGGATTATTTAAGTGCTTGCAAAGCACTTACGTAGTAACTGTTATTACTTTAAGGTTACTTTTGATGACATAATTTTTGTTACAGAGTGATGGACTTCCTGCTTTGGTAACTTTAAAGAAAGGCTTAGTTGCACTGGCAAGGCAATGGATGAAGTTTATTGTGGTGACACCAGCCTTTAAAGGAGTTAGCTTACACAGACCAGCTCAGCCTCTGAAACCTCAAACGGCTGTGCACCACGAACATGAAGATGGACTTGGGCTCGACAATGGGGGTGGTCTGCAAAGTGATACCAGTGCTGACGGAGCAGAATTTGAGTTTGATGCAGGTAATTTTGTAAACTTATCTTGAGTGTTTTCTTACCCCTTGTAACTAGAATATTTTCTCATGCCTCACAGTTGGGGTGTTTTCTTACCCATCATATATTTTGCTTTAGATATGTGCAACTTCTATTAATAATGCTAATATACCTCTTTAAAAGCTATTAAGACCCCTTGGTTTTCTCTATACTTATAAACTGCTTGTTAATAAATTGTTAATAAACAACTATTTAGTTATATTATTATATAATTGATAATATAGTAATCTTAATACTTTGTGTACCAAATTTGAAAATGTCGTGGCTTCATTATATAAATATGATTTTTTATTAGTCCAAATACATGGTAATAATGCTGGAGCCTTTATAGTGACATGATTTTACAAGTTTAATTTTGCAAAACACAGTAGATTTTTTTTCCTGATCTATCTAGTACAAATAGGCATCTTTGTATAGGTAGAATGTTCTGAGTGAAACACATTACCTTCTTTTAAAATTTATATTTGTATTTTTATGTGTATCATCCTCTCTTTGCCACAATCTTTTAAAGACTTTTTACTCAATGCTTGTTTGATCTTGAACTCATATGTTTGAGGCCTGCCTTCAGAGTACAGTCTGTCAGCAATGTGGCTGTGCCATAACACAGATACACCCTGTTCTCACTGTCAACATGGTTAGGTTCCAAAGACCAGGTTGCTATGCAAAATCGGTGTTACGCAAAAATGGAAGATGACTACACCATTATGTAATTGCCAAGTTACATCATTACATAACTGCCAAGTTACATTATTACCTAACCACATCATTACCTAACTGCCAAACCACTGAGAATCGTGGCCCAGCCAAGTTGACACATAACCTTAACCATCAAAGCCACTATTACTCTCGCCTCACACTTCAGCTTTCGTTACTGTCATAGGTACACTGTTAATGAGCAAAATAGATAGATTTTTCACTATTGTTGTAAATGCGAAATGTCAGATAACGAGATACTCGATAAGTGAGGAGAAGGTGTAGTGGATATGTGTTTCAGAAATGTACATGCATACTCTAACTCTTCGACAAAGATTAATTTTGCTATTATCATGACGTAATATTCAGTGAAAACTCATCTTACAATATCTTGAAAAAATTTTAAAAGTACCACTAAACTTAAAATAAGAGCATTCACCAGAATAGATAAAGTCATAGAAATGGAGCCTAGATTGGTGGTTGGCAGGGGTTGGAGAAAGTGGGAAATGGGGGGAAACTGCTTAATGGGTAAGAGGTTTTATTTTGGAATGATGGAAATGTTTTGGAAATAGACAGAGGTGGTAGTTGCACAACACTGTGAACATACTAAATGCTACTGAATTGTTCACTTTAAAATGGTTAATTTTATATTATGTGAATTTCACCTCAGTAAATTATTATTTTTTAGAAACAGAGCTTTCAGAGCACTGACATATAATCCTTGACCCAGCTTAGTTTTTGTTGTTTTGTTTTTTAAAACTTTGTATTTTATCAAGGAGTGTGTTAATGAGGAATAGGCTGGATTTCGTTTATTTATTTTGAAAATTTTCAAATCCACACAGAAGTTGAAAGAATAGTATGGTGAACATCCCTTATAATTATCTGCGAATGCCTGTGTTAATCTGTGAAAATTCTGTACTTTCTTGAGTTTAGTTGGATTGGTCTTTGGTGTCTATTTGTATGTGAAAGATTGAATAGATGCTGTTTGTTCCTTTCATGAGACTGAGTGAGGGGTTGGGGTTAGGGGAGAAAAAAAGAGAGAAGTATGAACATTACAGCACATGCTATAATTAATTTGTCAAGGAATATGTAAATGTGATTGCATTTATGCCACCAGAAAAACTAGAGTTGATGTTTCAAGAACATGTGTGATAATCTGTACGTCACTGATCCTTTTGAACTGTTTCAGCCACAGTCAGTGAACATACAATGCTACTAGAAGGAACAGCTAACCGACCCCCACCTGGTGGCTCTGGACCTGTAACTGGAGCTGAGATAATGAGAAAACTTTCTAAGACTCATACCCATAGTGACTCTGCATTAAAAATTAAGGTATAATATTGCTACTTTTGGTTAGAGTTATTCAGTTCTCACAGAGAACATTTAAACTTTTGTTACCTCATATTTAAATACTACGTATCTACCCTAGATATTCAAATAGTGGTTTTATGTTAAAATTAACTTGATCGTTAACTTTTAGTATACACATCTTTTTGCAAATTATGTCATCACTAATTAAGATTAAATAAGGGCTATTTTAACCACCAACCCTTAGAACTCTCTTTTCAATTTATTGACTATTGTATTCAATAAAATACAGTATTGAAAAAGTTGGTAATCTAGTTGTCGGTTTTAATGAGAAGCCTTTGAAACAGTGCATGATCAATATACAGTTTGGATTAGACTATTTAATGATTTTAATTATTTTGGTTTATAAAACTTAATCAATATTTGATAAGAGACATATATAGAAAGTGCTTAGACTCTAGCCTCCAGAGTCAGGCTGCCTTGATTTGAATCCTGCCTCTGTGACCTCCTTGCTCTGACTGATCAAGTTTTAACTTATTGTGCCTCAGCCTCCTCAGCTATAAAATTAGGATTCTGATAGTAACCTGCTTCAAAGAACTGTTGTGAGGAATAACTCAGTTAATACAGGATGTGAAAAATCCTTAGAACAGTATATGCCAAATAGTAAGTGCTCAATAAGGTATTTGTTATTGTTGTTGTGGGTTGTTATTTTTGATAGTTTGCTTTTCTGGACACTGAAAACAACAGACAATATTTTAACTTACATTGATACCCAAAACCTATAAGCTGAATGACTGATAAATTTAACCATATTAAAATATAAAATTTCCACACGGAAAAACTGATGTAAAAAAAAGTAGAGATATATTACAAAGAGCTAGTTTCCTGATACCGAAAGAACTCTTCCTAATCACTAACAAGAAAAAAGAAAAAAAGAAAAATGCTTAAAGGACATAAACAGGCAGTTCACAGAGAGATACATATAAACATATGAAAATGTATTCTCAAATGAAAATTAAAATAAGATTTTCCATTTCAACTATAAAATTGAGAAAATTGAAATGTTTAGTAGTATATGTAGTATTAGTGAAGATGTCAGAAAATATGTACTCTCATATAGTGTTGGTGGGAGTGTAAATTGGTGCAACCTTTTTTTTTTTTAAATTTTTTGTACTTTAGGTGAAGGTTTACAGAACAAATAGTTTCTCATTAAACAGTCAGTACACATATTGTTTTATGACATTGGTTAACAACCCCATGATGTCAACACTCTCCCTTCTCGACCTTGGAGGACATTTTTTTTTTTTTGGTGAAAATATGCATAGCCAAAGATACACCATTTCAAAAATTTCTACATCTACAATTCAGTGACGTCGATTATGTTCTTCCAGTTGTACTGCTATTCTCACTTTAGATGAAGGTTTACAGAATAAAATAGTTTCTCATTAAACAGTTAGTACACATATTGCCCTGTGACAATGGTTAATAACCCCACTACATGTCAACACTGTCGTTACTCAACCTTGGGTTCCCTATCACCAGCTTTCCTGTCCCCTTCTGCCTTCTAGTCCTTGTCCCTGGACTGCTGTGCCTCATTAGTCCCATTTTGTTTTATGGGGTTGTCCAGTCCCTGGCTGAATGGTGAGCCTCGGGAGTGACTTCACCACTGAGCCAAAAGGTGTCCGGGGGTCATACCCTAGGGGTTTCTCCAGTCTCTGTCAGTCCAGTAAATCTGGTCTTTTTTTTGTGTTAGAATTTTGTTCTACATCCTTCTCCAGCTCTGACCAGGACCCTCTGTTGTGATCCTGGTCAGAGCAGTCAGTGGTGGTAGCTGGGCACAATCTAGCTGTGCTGGACTCAGTCTGGTGGAGGCCATGGTAGCTGTGGTCCATTAGTCCTTTGAACTAATCTTTTCCTTATATCCTGTTCTCTTCACTCTCTCTTGCTCCTGAAGGGGTGAGACCAGTGGAGTATCTTAGATGACTGCTCACAGGCTTTTAAGACCCCAGACACTAATCACCAAGGTAGAATGTAGAAGATTGTGTTTATAAACTGTGTTATGCCATTTGAACTAGATGGTCCCCGACACCATGGTCCCCACAGCCCTCTGCCCAGCAATTCAGTCCCTCATGAGTTTGGAAGTGTCTATGAAGCTTCCATGACCTTTCCTTGTGTAAGTTGTGCTGGCTTCCCCAGTATTGTGTACTGTCTTACTGTTCACCAAAGTTATTTATTGTCTTTTTGATATTTCCCCACTACCCCGCCATACCTCATAACCAACAAAGATTGTTACTTTTTCTGTGTAAACTTTTTCATCAGTTTTTACAATAGAGGTCTCATATAGTATTTGTCCTTTTCTGATTGACTTACTTCACTCAGCATAATGTTCTCCAGTTTCATCCATGTTATTAGATGCTTCACACATTCATCATTGCTCTTTATCATTGCATAATACTCCATTGTGTGTATGTACTTTTGTTTATCCATTCATCTGTTGATGGGCATCGAGGTTGTTTCCATCTTTTTGCTATTGTGGACAATGCTGCAATGAATATAGGTGTGCCTATGTCTATTCGTGTGACAGCTCTTATTTCTGTAGGATATATTCCTAGGAGTAGGATTGCGGAATCATATGGTATTTCTATTTCTAGCTTTCTAAGAAAGCGCCATATCATTTTCCAAAATGGTTGTATCATTATGCATTCCCACCAACAGTGCGTAAGAGTTCCGATCTCCCCGCAGCCTCTCCAACATTTGTTATTTCCAGTGTTTTTGATTCGTTCCAGTAATGCCGGGGTGAGATGGTATCTCACTGTGGTTTTAATTTGCATTTCTCTAATGGCTAGTGATCACGAGCATTTCCTCATTTGTCTGTTGGCCATTTGAATGTCTTCTTTGGTGAAGTGTCTGTTCATTTCCTTTGCCCATTTTTTAA